GTGTGCTGGCGCCGCTAGGTGGAGGATTAGCCTATTGAGCCACGGCGCCGGCCAAGATATTTACTGTTGACATATGGTCTTCTGGGAATCCTCTCAGCAACTGAAACTGGTTCCCAAAATGGTGCCTGGGAAGAAGATGCATATACCATCAGAGCCCAGTCTCCTAGGCACGCTCCCTTGGCTTAACTTATTGGATTGAGGAAGTGGTACTGCCAGCCCTACAAGATTCTAATCACCAAACTCATAAGGTCATTTGCTTCTCCAACTGATAATATCTTGGTGACGAGTACTGTTTTGGGGGCTTTTGTTCAGGGGAATTCCAGATCTGGGAAGGGGAATTCTGGTCTGGGACAGAAAATAACTAGCATGGGCCTGTAGACCCCAGGCTGACTGGGGGCTGCTTGGCCATCACATCAGCAGAGCACCTGGTGATGCTTCTAGGCCGGGCTGCTGGCTTCCTGCTGGCCCATATCATAAGGTGCACATTGCCTTGTTCCTTATCTGAACTACCTTTGCAGACAACCAGGGTACAAAGCAAGCCTGGGTGCCTGGCCAGGGGCCAATGTGCTGCTGCCCTTATCCTTTGTCTCTCATAGTCTTGACACTGCCTTCCTGTGGCTTCTTTCAAAGCCCCCATACACTCTCATTTAACAGAGCAGCAGTTTTGAGATCTGGAGGTCTGCTACCCTCTCATCTGTAGACTGATTAAATGTTCTCTTTCCTTCACCTCCAAACCTTGTCCTCATTATTTTCATCTGGCACCAGGGACAGGCACAGAGCTTTCATTAACAGAAATTTTGGCGACCAAGGCAGGGTTGCTCCTACCCTTGACAGCCTGATCCCCACTGCTGACTTCCCAGGGAAGGAGCAATTGGAGGTGGCAACACACAAAGACTTACCTGCCATAGCTCTTGGCTGTGGCCTGGGAAAACAGAAGTTGGCCCAAGTACTTGAGCCCCTGCACCCACATGGGAACCTGGAAGAATCTCCTGGTTCCTGGCTGTGGATAGGCACAGCTCCAGTTGATGTGGCCAGTGGGAAGTGAAACAACAGATGGAAGACCTTTCTCTCTGTCTCTCCCTCTCTCTATAACTTTACCTCTCAAGTAAATAAAGTCTTTAAAAAAAATAAAAACAAGTTGGAAAGACACCAGTGGATGGGGGAGAGAGAAATAAAATGGAAGCTCTAAGCATGAGAATGTTGGTGAGGAAGGTAAAGAAGGAAAGATAATTTTTTAAAATAAAGAACAGGTATTGTAGGGGCTGATGTTGTGGCATAGCAGGTAAAGCTGTCATCTGCAACACCAGCATCCCATTTGGGCACTTGTTCATGTCCCACCTGCTCCACTTCTAATCCAGCTCCCTGCTGATGTGCCTGGGAAAAGCAAACGAAGATGGTGAAAGTGTTTGGGCCCCTGCCACCCACATGGGAGACCTGGAAGAAGCTCCTGGTTCCTGGCTTCAGCTGGCAGTTGCAGCCATCTGGGGAGTGAACCAGGGATGGAAGATATCTTTCTCTCTAACTTGTCCTTTTAAATAAATGCATAACTCTTTTTTTTTAAATGGAAGGGCATTGTTTACAAACATTTTTGTGCTAAAGTAGAATGACTGGATTACTTTAGCCTGGAAAGGAAAAGATAGGACAGAAGCTAAAGATTTAAGTAAGTAGCAAAAGGGGTGGAGTTTAAAAGAGGATAAATCTTATAAGAAAAATTTGTGATGAAAATAACTATAAGTTAAAGAGAAGGTTTTCTAAAAAATTGAGCAATAATATCAAAGGTACACTGATATAAAATTAAAATCTTTCTCTGTTAAAGCAACAAGAATTTCTGTTAAGTATGAAAGTTTCCAAAAGTGTTGAGCTTTTAATCCATTTTTGCTTCCTGTTGACCATCTTCTGCACTATAGTTTCCCCTTTTACAGTTTGTGTTTAATTGGTGAATCGATTGGACTTTGCAGTCAGCTCCTGTAAGCTTTTTTCCTCCTGAGTTCTGACTGTAGTATGATGACACTAACTAAATGCATATCTTCAAAGCTAGGTGACAGGATAATTTCATACTTTATTGCTGGCTTTACCTTTTGGTAACTGGCCAAGGAAACAAACACTGTGCGTCTTACTAAGGACATTTTTGTGTTCTCTGCTGCCTTTGTTAAGTTCTGATTGTTTGGAAAGCACGGAGTCTTAAGAGTTGAGATTGGTTTTAGGTATCTACTTAGTTTAAAATAGTTGAGTGATTAATTTATAAATATGGATAAGTCTGTTCTAAAACTGCTTAACTCACCCTGACTAAGCGGATGGTTATTATGGTAGAATGATAAGGGATCGCATTTTGACCACACATTTTAAGCCCTTTAGGCATCTGTCACAGACTTTCTGAGGATCAAGGTTTCAAGTTTTTTTTTTGACTTTGAGATTTCTATTTGGGTCCCTGCAGATGTCAAAGATGTATCTCACATCTTGTAGAGAAAATAGCTAATATAGGGATCTTTAACTTGTATGGGAAACTCTGTCAAGTTATAACAGGAAGCTAAACTTTTTTTTAGGTTTTATTTAAGTATTTATTTGAAAGAGTGACAGAGGGAAAGGGAGGGAGAGAGAGAGGATCTTCCATCCACTGGTTCACTCCTCAAATGGCTGCAATGGTCAGGACTGGGACAGGCTGAAGCCAGGAACCTATAACTCCACCCTGGTTTCCCATGTGGGTGGCAGGGGCCCAAGTACTTGGGTCATCTTGCACGGCTTTCCCAGGCGAGTAGCACAGAGCTGGATCAGAAGCAGAGCACCTGGGACTGAACCAGTGCTCCACTGAGGGTTGCCTGTGTTACAGGCAATGAAAAGAGCTTGACCTGTTGTGTTATAATGCTGGTCCCCAGGCTAAACTCTAAGTAATGTTTATATAGCTGTGTAATTAATGTAACTGTTCTGGAGATTACAAAAATTTGTAAGTCTAGTGGTCCTGTTCTGATCATTCACGATGGTTATCCTGATGAAAAAGAGGGTTCAGGAGCCTTTCAAAGATCTTTGAGGCTACCCTTCCTGTCACATGCCGGGGCCTGAAAGGGACAGATGTCTTGTAAACCCTACAGGTGCTTTCTAAAATGCTGTATGCTACAAAGATGATTGTCTCTCCTTGTCAATTGCTGAGTTTTACAGTTTTAACCCTTGCCATTTTAAAACTTTTGTCATCCACTGTTTTGATTCTGATTTTGTCATCTACAGTTCTTTTCAAAAGCATTTAAACAGATTCATGGATAAGACTCTTAATAGATGTTCTCGAATAACAGGTTTCTGACTGCTGTAAAATTAATGGACTAGATAAGACTTTCTAGGAGTCTGAAGAAAAAAAATTTAATTCACAAAATGGTAGAGGACAAGAATTAGTTACAAGAAACCAAATGAGTGAATGAATTTTGTGGATTTCTATGTCTTTCTTTTAAAATATTGTTGGTTCTGTGTTTAAATGTTTTATCTTCTAGGTGTGTGATGCATTTTCCCTGTGATTTCTAAGGTTTACTGTGTTTTGCTAAAGTAAAGTTTTGAAGCCAGAGAAGAAAGTGTTTGCTTTCCTTCCTCCACTAAATTTCCCTAAAAAAATTTTTTTCTGAGTATTTTTGCTTTTTGTGATTGTTTGCATGAGTTCAGTAAGAATCTGTTCTTGTCATAACCAGAGATCATTGGAAAAAATGGCATATTTAAAAATTGTACACAGAACACCTGGCCTCAAGAGCTGCTAGCCGTGGAGTCAGTAAATGGAGTTGTCAGTTTTAGCAGACCCTGAAATGTCAAAAGTTTAGACACTATGATTAAAAAAAGCCCAAGTCTACTGTGGATTTTTGTTTGTTTGTTTTTACTTTGAGAGTTTTTGAGGAGACATTTAAAATCTGTTTTTCAAGCTATGTTTTTCAACCCTTGGGTAGATTAGGAAATCAGTTTAGTATGGAAGTAGGGTGAGTATAGTTTTTGTGAAGGTTAGTTACATACACTTGTGTATGTGTGTACCAGGTCACACAGTGCGATGTGTTTGTCACCATGAGTTGTGGTACAGGTTTCAGCAACACAGCTCTAGGGTGGTTATTTGTGTAAGACATACACTGAGCAATCCATCTGCTGCTTTTTGCGGACTCCTGTTCTAGACTCTATGACGGCATCACTGAGAGGAGAATGCAAATTGCATTAAGTGGCCAGATTTTTACCCTCTGCTGTGAACAAGATGCACACTTTGGAACAGTTTATAGTTGATTTATCTGCAATGCTAGGCAATTTTCTTTTCTGGTTAACAAAATTACTTGTGGAAAATTTTTAAAGTCCTATGCCAAGCTCCATCCTAGATTAAGTAAGTCTGAATTTCTAAAGGTAAATTTTGGCATCCGTTTTTAAAGCTTCTCAGATGAGTGTAAGGTGCAACCAAAATTGAGAACCACTATCCTTGAATTCCCTAATCCCACCCTGTCCTTGGCCCTCCTCCCTGTCTTCCCCAGCATGGCACAAAGATGAGCCTTTGCCTTCTGACAGCAAATCACTCTCTCTCAAGGCCATGGTTGTCTCAGTAATTACTGTTTTACCTTCCTGTATGCCTGTGCCTTTTATTAAAATGTTTTATTAAAAAATTGGGTCATAGAATTCTTTTTCTCCAAAACTAAATCATAACTAGTTTTACATTTTGTGCCCTCAAGACTCACATGAGTTACATTTTGCCATCTTGAAAAGTTGAGGTAGTGATGGGAAAGGAGAGAGGAGTGACAGTGGAAGAATGAACACGGTAGTGCAGAGAGAGTGAGGGGTAACTGATGACAGGTGGATAGGGAAAGTGCAGGGATATAAACAGGAGTGTGGATAGCATGTGGAGTGTTCACACAATGGAACAGTATGCAGCAATGAGAAGGAACTATTGAATGATACTTTCAGCAACATGGATGAGTTGCACCAGTGTTGTTATGAGTCAAAGTATCCAAAGAGCAGCAAATACTTTATGGTTCCATGAATATCAGGTCATTCCTTCCAACACAAATTTTATTCTTTATTAGCAATCAGTAAAGAGATGAAAACAATAATAATTTATTAATTTGACCCATTCATTTAAAGGTAATATCTGATGCCTCCAACTCTACACTCAAGAATGCTGTTAGATGTGGCTGGAAAAGTTCTGGAGAAGATTCTTCTAGACCCTTCAGGCATCATGTCACAGGCTGTCTTGACCAGAGCCAGAGGAGTGACTCTGTGTACAGGAACGAGGGGGCGCACGTGAGACGGTCAGGGCTGGCTGTGCAGTACCTAAGGGAGGAAAGACAGAGCTGAAATTAAATCTGAGGGGCTAAGGGGATCTTCTTCACTTTTGCTCCCAACCAAAACTGCCATTCCTTCTCCTCCTGAGTCACATTCAACTGGAAGTGGGAAAGGCAGGGAGAGGTGGACCCCAAACTGCTACCCAGTTGACAGCCTGTGACTCCCTGCTTATCTGTAACCGACAGTTAGACAGACGTGGCTTTCCCAGAACTGTTACTACTGAAGCCACGACTGGAAATGTGTGGTGTGATCTTACAATAAGCAGCCTTCTAGACAGACTGAGCATAACTATCATAGATTCGAGCCAGATGGGTCTGGGCAGTTTTACACTCTCTGCTTCTTCCCTTTGCATCTGCAATGGGCATGGCTGCTTCTAGGAGGGAACATGGAAGTGGCCTCAGCTTAGATTTTGCCCTTTGTAAGCCTGAAAGCTCCAATCTGCTGCCTTGGACGGAAGTAGGCTGGAGAATGGACTCTAGGTCCTACCCGTGGAAGACAGAGGTAGATGATGCCACAGGGACTAAAGATAATTCAGATAAGTAGCACAGTTGGGTGACAGATGCTTTCAAAGATATACTTTCTTGTACCTGTCAAAGTCTCAGTCCTAAACAAGCAGAAAACTTGTGGCCTCACACCCCAGGACCACTGCCTGAGATTGCTGAGGTTAGGTTTTTGCAGGGTGTGTCCTGGTGGGCACATTCTCACACGCAGCAGCGGCAGTTGTGGATCAGAGTCTTTTCTTTAATTGGCTGCTGTTGTGATGTTCTCATGTGATGCACTGGTCAATGCAAAAGGGGTGTGGAAGAATTGCTCTCCAGGTGAGAGCATACTGGGTAGAAGCATGAGAATAGTGCTGGTCCCATAAGGGAAGTGGCAGGTGGTATCCAGGGCATGTGGGAGTGGCATGACAGGCCCCCCTGAAACCGTGGTTCTACCACTTGCCAACCACCACAGCCCAGGAACAGCACCGGGTGTTGGAAGGAGTTACAAGAATGTGCATCATGTCAGATAGCCCTGAGAACAAGACGTAGCCCTGTTTGGGGCAAAGCCACTCAGCTTCTTCATTTATAAAGTGAGGAAATAGTACCTTCCCTATCTGGGCTGTACTAAGGAGCAAGTGGAATAATGCAGTTCAATGTAGTTAAAAACTGAAACTCTGCCCCATGGGTCCATGTGCTCTCTGAAGATCTCTAGATGGGGACAGAAAAAGAAATGTTCAGCTTTGCTTACTCTTCCCTTGCTCAGTGCTGCTCAGCACGTGTCCCAGCCTCTCCCTCAGCCGGTCATTGATGCAGACAGATTCCTCCAGGCGCTGGCGCAGGGTGTGGATCTCAATAAGATTCTTTTCCAGCAGGTCGGACCCTGTTGCAAATCACCAAGACGTGGGTGGGGAAGCCTGCTCAGTCACGGGCAGCTGCAGAGCCCACCTGCAGTGTCTCTTCTCTGCAGGATCTCTGCCCACCCCTGGCCCTCTATCAACTTCTTCTCATCTGAACAGCCAGGGAGCACCAGGAAACTTTGCTCAAAGTGCTCCCAGGCTTTCAGTCGCAAGAGGGCCCCCTGTAGAGAAACTGCACAGGGCTTCCTTCCAGACCAAGGCCACGTGTATCTAAGGGAAAAGGGCAGTGGTCTGGAAGGCACAGCTGAGGAAACTGCCAGAGGCCTCCAGGGGGACTGGCCTGGCAGGAGGAAATGTGTCTACCTCCTGGGACAGGTGACTGATAACAATCCAAAGGCCTCTCGCTCTCCTTCAAGCCTCTCCTTCCTGGTGATACTTGGCTCAACAACCATACACAGAGAAACGGCCAAGGTAAATTCACATGAAATCAAATCAGGTTGTGAATAATGAGTGTTAATGAATGTTCCCCCTTTAACCAATTTTGGCAGAGAGGAACCTGGAAGATCCTGGGGAAGCATCAGGTATGAAGGTGGAGCAGGCGAGAAGGGAACAATCTCCAAGGAACAGAAAAGGTGCACAAAGGGGAGAAGTAGGCCAACACATTTTACCTTGGGTCAGACTTTTCTCTGAGAATTTCAAATGTCTACTGTTACATTACCTAGCGCCTGCTTCCAGCCATGTCTACATAGCTACACTTGTAGCCACCAGGTGACAGAACATCTGACTCCAAATCTAGCATTTAAGGGGGCAGGACTGGCTCACAGGTGCAAGCACAGTGTGTGTGTGTGTGTGTGTGTGTGTGTGTGTGTAAGGGTGGGTGACTGTAGAAATAGTTTCCTATCCTATTGTTTTTGACCTAAGGAAAGTGTTCCCTGTGGTTGTCTGAGCTTGGCACTCTTGAGCAGCCTGTGCTAGACCTACGAAGGTTGTAGCACGGGGGGAAGAGAGTGTGAAAGTGAGATAACTGTGCCCCCTGTAGAGTACCTCAGAATGCCCAGGCTTCCTTTCTTCTGAGTGAGTCCTTGGATGGTGGGATAGAAGGTTCTTACAAAGAACCAGCACTAAGCCAGAGTCCCATTCTCTGGCAGACCCATAGGATATCGCTCACTCTTTTCTGTAAGCTAGGTTCTAACAAGGGACTAAAAAAATCCTTGGAAAAAGATTGTGTGGTTCCTATCAATAGGCTCCATTTAACCAACTACTCCTTTGTGCTTTACCAGAGGGTTTGGAGTTGGGCCGATACAAAGAGGAAAAGGAGGATAAGTCCCCGGATGCATTCATTTTCTGAGGCCTCATCTCTTCGCCTGGACTGCTGCAGCCATGATGCCCAGGTCCTGGTGTGCCACTCGGCTGCGTGGTGCTACTCTGAAGATAGGAGGGCTGGGCAGATCTGCCTCCTGAATTGTTGCTAAGCAACACAGCTGAATCAGCAGGAATCGCCAGGCTGACATCTGTCCAGAAAAGAATGGGAGTGAGAAATAGAGAAGGCATACATGAAATTTTTTTTTAAGATTTATTTTATTTGTTTGAAAGCAGAGTTACAGAGAGAGGTAGAGCCAGAGAGAGAGAGAGAGAGAGAGAGAGAGAGAGAGTTCTCCCATCTGCTGGTTCACTCCCCAGAGGGCTATAACAGCCAGAGCTGAGATGATTCAAAGCCAGGAGCTTCTTCTGGGTCAGCCATGTAGGTTCAGAGGCCCAAGGACTTGGGCCATCTTCTACTGCTTTCCCAGGACATAGCAGAGAGCTTGATCAGAAGTGGAGCAAGCTGGGACTAGAACCAGCACCCATATGGGATGCTGGCACTGCAGGTCAGGGCTTTAACCCACTGTGCCACAGCGCTGGGCCCCATGAAATGTTTTAAAGGTGACTACAGTGGGCTGAGTGAATAGGGTACTTCAGAAACTCGTTCCACCGGAGACCTTAGGATGTAACTTTGTATATAGGTAGAGTCTGTCTTTGCAGATGTCATCAGTTTCAAGGGGACTGTCTTAAATCCAGTATGACTAATGCCATTACCAAGAGGAGGGAGGCAGAGATAACGAGACACATAAGGAAGACTATGTGACAACGGAGGCAGAGGTTGCAGTGATCAGTCTACAAGCCAAAGAACTCCCAGGAATGTCCGGAAGCTAGAAAGAGGCAAGGAAGGATCCTTCCCGAGAGCCTTCAGAGGGAGCATGGCCCAGCTGATGCCTTCACTGCAGACTTATGTCTGTAGAATCAGGAGAATAAAGTTCTGAGTTTTTTTCTTAAAGATTTATTCATTTATTTGAGAGGCAAACTTACAGAGAGAGAGAGAGAGAGAGAGAGAGAGGTCTTCCATCTGCTGGTTCACTCCCTAATGGCCACCAGGGCTGGTTTGGTCCATCTAAAGCCAAGAGCCAAGAGTCTCCCACATGGTGCAGGGGCCCAAGCACTTGGGCCATCCTCTGCTGCTTTCCCAGGCCATTAGCAGGGAGCTGGATCAGAAGTGGAGCAGCCAGGACTCTAACCGGCACTCATATGGGAAGCCAGTGTTGCAGGCAGCGGCTTAACCAACTACACCACAGTGCTGGCTCCAAATTCTGTTGTTTCAAGATACTCAGTTTGTGGTACTTTGTTGTGGAAGCCTTAGAAAATGAGTAAAGTAGTCCAGGGAATGAAGTCTAGGGCAGATGTCAGAGATTCAAAGCTTGCTGCTGAATGTCGAGTTAGGTGGAGATTTCATTCTGAACAACTATACATTTCACTCCAAAGCTCTGGGCATTCCCTAGTCTATGTCAGCAAATCAGAATGGTGAGACATAATAGCTGAAGGTCACAGTGCACATCTACGGCAAGTGCGGGGGCCGTCTCCCAGCTTCCTCCATGATTCCCAAGGCTGGAATGAGCCCAAGGAGGAACTTCAGAAATGTCTCCTCCAATAAGTAGGACTCACTGCCAATCAAAGGGATCAAGGTGTGAGAGGAGGAAGCATTTTGCTGGTCTGTGAACAGGTGACTACTCACCCAGTAGCACACCAGCTAATCCTCCAGGGCATTGGTCTATCTTGGGATTGATGGAAGAGGAAGGAAAAATAGCTTCTGGCCAATGGACTATGTTGCCTCCACTCCTGGTGGCTCCCACTCCTCCTGCCTCTGCTGATTCTGGGCCCTGACTGAAGCTAAGGGAGATTCTGTGTAAGGTGAGTGAGTCTGGATCCCATCCTGATGCTGCAGGATTCTGCAAAAATAATTCTGAATTATAGCTCACTTTGTCTGGCTCTCATATGAAGAATGACTGGGGGACTCATGTATGGAGAATTGTAGAATCACAAAAAAATATATAGCATCTTAACTCTTGAGAACATGGTCATGTTCTTTGGGCCTTGATGACCATCTTCCTTTGAGAGAGCAATCCAGTTGGAGTAGCAGAGCCATAATTCAGAGAAAAGTTTAAAAATCTTTTGTCTTGGAGCCACTGTGTGGCCCAATGGGTTAAGCTGCTGCTGTGTTGGCAGCATCTCATATGAGTGTTGGTTCTAGTCGCAGCCGCTCTGCTTCCCATCCAGCTCTCTGCTAATGCACCTGGGAAAGCAGCAGAAGATGGCCCAAGTCCTTGTGCCCCTACCACCCGTGTAGGAGACCTGGATGGAGGTCCAGGCTCCTGACCTTGGCCTGGCCCAGCCCTGGCTGTTGTGGCCATTTGGGGAATGAATTAGAGAATGGAAGTCTCTCTTTATAACTCTACCTTTCAAATAAATAAATAAAACTTAAAAAAAACTTCTCTCTTTCCAGGTTATTATCCAGAGCCACACCACCAAATAGACGGACAAGTCAAAGTGAGGTCCCTGTTTCCCAACAGAGCCAAGTTCCTTTAGGATATTGAAGTCAGAATCCAGTAGGTCTCTTCTTTCCCAAAATACAAAATGCCAAATGCTAATTGGCATCTTTGTGAAATTAAAAGTAAGGGAAAATATGTTAGGCCTTCAGCAAATGCCTAACTTAAAGTAGGAACTCAATCAAGATACCATTACCAGTCCCCCTCAAACCTCCTTTACTTTATCCCACTCCAGAAAATCAGCTTACTTTCAACTAAGGCCACAGGAGGTTCCAACCCCATCAGAAACAATGGTCAGAGCATTGTCATGTCCCATCTACCCTGGCCACACAACACAGGGAACTCCCCACACTGTACAGGGAAAGCAACTGAGACTGGCCACTTGTGAGGGAATCTAGCCTCACTGGATGGCTGCCTTGTCTGCAGCACTGTTTGATGACTGTCATAAGAATTAGGCTCAAAAAGCAAAGAAAAGGTGACAAATGCAACTAAACTCTCTGACAGGTCAGGGGCTCAGGTGGGAAAGAAAAGGACTTGAGCCTCCTCCAGGAAGGGGCGAGGTGGTGGGAAATAAGCCCAAATCTTCCTGGGAGCATCACTCCAGGGATCACTGCAAGTGGTGACGGGGATGCAGGTAAGAGAAAGGTGGACTTGTCTTTCCGCCAGCTTTCAGGGCAGCACTGAGGTTCAACCAAGGCCCTCTGGGCAGCTGAGTTCAAAGATGCACAAAAACTCATATGGGGGCCGGCGCCATGGCTCACTAGGCTAATCCTCCGCCTTGTGGCACCGGCACACTGGGTTCTAGTCCTGATTGGGGCACCGGATTCTGTCCCGGTTGCCCCTCTTCCAGGCCAGCTCTCTGCTGTGGCCAGGGACTGCAGTGGAGGATGGCCCAAGTGCTTGGGCCCTGTACCCGCGGGGAGACCAGGAGAAGCACCTGGCTCCTGGCTTCGGATCAGCACAGTGCGCCGGGCGTGGCGGCCATTGGAGGGTGAACCAACGGCAAAGGAAGACCTTTCTCTCTGTCTCTCTCACTGTCCACTCTGCCTGTGGGGAAAAAAAAAAAAAAACTCGTATGCATCCCTTGAGAGTGGTCAAATGCACATTAAGGGCAGGCCTTCTGTTTATCAGTTCTGAGACAGGAGTGCAATATATAGAGTCTGGTCTCATTTGCAGAGGCCAGATCTTTGTGCTGGGCATGGGGCTAGGAAGATTGGAATGGCGAATATTCTGGCACAGAAGCCTAGCAAAAGAGATGCCAAGATGAGGTGAGCACATTCCCTATTTAGTCCTGACTGCCCAGGCTGCAGAGTGTTGTGGACAAAGCCTAGGCTTTAGCTGACCTTGAAGTGAATTTCACACCAAGCTGAGCTGTCTTTACCATGTTCCTCAACTTTGCTGTGACTCCACCACTGTAAGTGTTGGCCACATTTAAATATTTAATATCTAAGCATTCAAATATTCATGTGCCAATATTTGAGAAGCAATATATATGCTATATATTAATTCCCTAATATATATTCCCTAATATATATAATATATATTTCCTTATATATAATATATATACTATATATATATTAGGGAATATATATATATATTAGGGAATTATGTGAGTGTAACAGGTACTCATTAGATGTGAATTTCCTATCTTTCCTTGGCTACATTAATGCTGGAGGAAATATTTAACTGCTTTGTTCCTCAAGGTGAAATGAAAAACAGGAGTAGTTCTAGGTATAAACCCATGATAGCTTATTTGTTGCCTAAAATGGTCAATTTAGGGGAAAAAAATCAAATATGGCCAGGAATTAAGGATGGCTTCTTCATATAATCCACACCAGGATTTAACTCACATTCTCAAATACTTTTCTCAGGAGGGAAATTTAACAGAAAACGTAGCAGGAGAAAAATGAAGGTTTGAATTAAATCTTACTGCCCTCGCATCCCCACCAAGGGCACCTGGAAGGCTCTAGTGGAGGAATTCTGGGGCAGGGCATATATTTGTGGGGTTGGTGACAGATTTAGCTTAAACCTCATGACATGTCCCAGTTACAGATGAGTGACAGGATATCACAGCAGAATTACTAAGATTATAGATGGCATCTGTAAATCCACAAGGAATAAAGAATATTGAGGGATGAACAGAAAATAGGAACTGTGGCATTTGCCTTAAGAATTCCAGCATCAGAGGTTCGATGTCAGTCAAATTCATGTCCCTGGTCTCAACAATGTCGTGATGGTGTTACAGTAATGTGGGAGCATTTGCCCCATGCCTCCCCTTCCAAATTTGTGCCATCTTGCCCCTGACAACACCATGTATATGGTGATGATATGTGAGACTAGGAAAGGAGAAAAGCAGCTGACGAACTGGGGACCCATGCTTATTAGAGTTCCAGATCCTGCTCCACCAGGTATATCATGGTGGAGCTACAGCACCTGTCTGCAAAATTGCCGCCTTTTGCCCTACACAAGATTGAACACTCACAAACTGGCAGCCTTGTAGGTACTCACTGGCTCCAGTCACTGAGGAACGCGCTCTTTGCTCATCAGGTGGTGGAGTGGGACTACTGGTGTGGATCTGGGGCTGATTCTGGGACCTGGCATCCTGCTGGGTCTCCAGGACTTCCAGCACTTCGTGCTTCCTTTGGATCTCCCTTAAGATACTGGTGGAGTAAGCAAGACAGGAAAAAAAAAAGTTGTTTGAACATTACTGCCATACTGACCTTGGAGCTTGTAGGAGAAGCCAAGGAGACAATTCCTTCTGAGAAAAGGCCAGACAATTTATGTCCAGGGATAAGAGAATGGGGGTGGGGAGTGGGGTAGGGTGAGAGCAATGGATTCCCAGTGCATTGGCCACAGACATCCTGAGGAAGATGGAAGATCCACTGGGTTCTTTAAATAACACACTTCCTTCACAAGACACTCAGGAGCGTAAGAGTTCAACTCTGTGAACATAATCCATTAAATAGAGTTTGCAGGGGCCCATTGATAGCTCATGGGTGTCTTGCACTTTTCAGACTCCCTTCTCTGAGTACAGAGATGCTCGTACAGAGGAAGCCCTTGCATGCAAGGGTTCAGCCTCTGCCAGCACACACTCGATCACCCTTGAAGAAACCAGGCTGAAACAGCAAAGAGAAACCAGAGGCGATCCCCTGGGTGAGTCTGGACAATCCTGAGACCCAGATAGCTACGTTAGAGCAGCTTAACTGGTGAATATGAGAATGGGAGCTAAAAGAATAATTTTTTAAAAGAAAAGGAAATGTGAGTCCCTGAAATGTGGTTACCTGAGGGTCAGAGATGCCTGTCTTGTTTGAGTCTTGGTATTTGTGCAGTCATCTGGAAACCAAATTTTAAAAGGTGCCAGTCAGAACTTAAGTGGATCTCATTTCCCAGACTACAAATGAACACTGGGTTCTTTCTGGGACCAGAAACACAGCTACTTGATGCTCCAGTTCAGGATGCTCTGTGTTTTCCCAGGAGATCTTGGGTTGAGTCTTTAGAGAGCTTGCCTGGCAGGCTTCCCTGAAGGCACTAGGAAGATTGTCATCTCCACTTGCTCTGCTGAGTAAGAGCAGAAAACTAAAACTGCACCCTGGCCACCCTCCACCACACCATAGGTGATGTGATTCTTATCCAGCCAGCCTCAGGACCACTCAGCAAGAGCCTCCAAGTCCTGCCACAGGGCTGTCGACCCAGGCTGGTGGCTGTGTGTCCCACCACAGTTTTCACGCAAAACCTCCTCCTTCCTCTGAGATAACAGACATTCTTGTTCTGCCTGTGCACCTGCCATCAGGAGCCAGCAAAATGGCCTCAAGCCCCTGTTACCATGTGCCCTTGGGTGTTCTAAGGAAAGAGTCTATGTAAAAAAACTTCTGCAATAACAAATGGTGCCACCAGCTGCAACTAGTCCATGCAGTACCTAAATCATGCCAAAATCAGCCTGATTCTTTATCATTTTTTGAAATGCACTAATTAATGTTACTTTATTCTTAGAACAGTTATGCAACTTTCAAGGGCTGGTATGGTTTGACCTAATTTTTTTTTTTGATGACGGAACAGAAATTAAACAAAGTATTAACCTGTTCAGAGTTAGTAGTGAGCACATGCAGGCTACATCTAGGGTCTTCAGATTCTTAGTTCAGGACCATTCACAACAACCAGCTGCTTCTGTTACTTCCTTCTGCCAAGCAGTTTCAGATAAACACCACCACAGCCAGAGATGCCCCCTGACCTAACAGACATTCAACAAGGGAGGGAGGTGCTGGCAGTCAACATGGCGTCCTTAATCCTGTTTCTCATTGGGCTCCTCACCAACCTGTCCTGAGCCTAAGGGGGTGATTACTAAGCAAGACACCAGGATGAACTTTGTGGATGCTTGTGAGCTTGTGTGAGCCCAGGACCTCAGGAGGGCCTGAAAACCTTCCTCAACTCTGGTCCACATACCCGTGCTGAATTTCTCGGCGATGCTCTCTGCCATCCGTCTCCCCTTGCTCAGCTGCTCCTGGAAGTACAGCTCCGTGCTGCGGTCGATGCTCTTGCTGCTGAGCAGCTCCTCAAAGGTTTTGACTGTGTTCTTGACATGCTGGAGGAGAAGGGAAGAGACCACTCTCCCAATCCTCACCTTCTGCTGCAGGTGGCTCAATTCTTGCATCTGATTCTGGGCCAAGGTATGAAATTTCCTAAGGCAGAAAAGAAGCAGCACCTCAGGTGGAACAGGGTGACTCGTAGCTTATGATACTGCGACAGGAGGCACTTAAGGAAATCACCAAAGGAAGCCCCACCAGACATTTTAGCGCATTTCTAGTGACCTGAATGTGATAAAGGGAATGAAGAAGAAAAGTAAAAATATCCTTCTAAGGTTGTCATTTCCCCCTACCCCATACTGTTGGAAAGGGAACCTCGTTTTCTTCCCTACCTGCTGTACAATCTGCCCCCTAGTCCCTCTCTTGAGCCTATAATCCATTTGAAACAAAGCCAGACTTCACTGGAAGCTTGAAATGAAAACTAATCACGTTAGAGAAAAGGCCATTTGTTCATGCAGCAGAATCTTTCTGTCACTAGGATGGACCAATCTTTCTCTTTTCGGTAGGTAACCAAGACTCAGTTGGCAAGACAGCTCCAAGCTCCTTAAATTTAATCACTGTATATGATCACTTCTATACCCTCTAGTGTAACTAGCTAGGACAGTGCTCTGCCCAGAGGGGTTCAAAAGAGTTTAAAACAACGTGAACAAGCCGGCGCCGTGGCTCAATAGGCTAATCCTCCACCTTGCGGCGCCGGCACACCGGGTTCTAGTCCCGGTCGGGGCGCCGGATTCTGTCCCGGTTGCCCCTCTTCCAGGCCAGCTCTCTGCTATGGCCAGGGAGTGCAGTGGAGGATGGCCCAGGTGCTTGGGCCCTGCACCCCATGGGAGACCAGGAAAAGCACCTGGCTCCTGGCTCCTGCCAGGATCAGCGCGGTGCGCCGGCCGCAGCGGCGGCCATTGGAGGGTGAACCAACGGCAAAGGAAGACCTTTCTCTCTCTGTCTCTCTCTCTCACTGTCCACTCTGCCTGTCAGACAGAAAAGAGAAAAAAAAAACAACGTGAACTGACTTAGAATCCCATGACGTCCTGTACAACACAACTACTATTTGTTATAGAGAAGAACAGGGGAGAGTATTAGTTCATCCTGTTCCTGAGAGAAGCAAAGCAGTTCAGTGTCTGTAGCAGGCATTTGTAGGGCTGTGATTTTAGGGGGACCCAGAAACGGTTTCAGGCTCCTAATTTTGGCCTGGTCCAGCCTCAACCACTGCAGTTACTTAAGAAGAGAACCAGCAGGTGAAAGATTCTCTCTCTCTTTCTTTCATTGTCCTTTCAAAAAATTCCTCCATGAAATATTATCAATCAAATCAAATAATGTGTAAAAAGAATTACATGCCATCATCATTTGAGATTTATTCCAGGTATTCAAGGCTGGTTCATCATTTGAAAATGAACTAATGTAATCTGTCCCATTAACAGGCTAAAGAAGGAAAATCACATAATTATATCAATAGATGCAGAGAAAGGATTTGACACAATCCAACACCCATCCATGATTTAAAAAAAAAAAAAGCTCAACAAACTAAGAATAGAGGGGAACTTCCTCAACTTGATTTAAAAATATCTACAACAGCCTTACCACCACCATCATACTTAATTACAAGAAACTAGAACCTTTCTCCCTAAGATCATGAACAAGACAAGGATATTTCCTCTCACCACTCCTTTTCAACATCATATTGCGAGTCCTAGCTACTTCAATAAGACAAGAAAGGGAAATGAGTTACACAGATTAAGAGAGGAGAAATAAAATCATCTTCATTCACAGATGTCATGATTAGCTGTGTAGAAAACCTGAAAAATTTGGCCATAAAATGACTATAACTAATAAATGATATAGCAAAGTTGCAGAATACAAGATTACTGTATAAAAGTTAATCATTTTCTGCCGGCGCCGCGGCTCACTAGGCTAATCCTCCGCCTAGCAGCGCCGGCACACCGGGTTCTAGTCCCGGTCGGGGTGCCGGATTCTGTCCCGGTTGCCCCTCTTCCAGGCCAGCCCTCTGCTGTGGCCCGGGAGTGCAGTGGAGGATGGCCCAGGTGCTTGGGCCCTGCACCCCATGGGAGACCAGGAAAAAGCACCTGGCTCCTGGCTCCTGCCACTGGATCGGCGCGGTGCGCCGGCCGCAGCGCGCCGGCCGCGGCGGCCATTGGAGGGTGAACCAACGGCAAAGGAAGACCTTTCTCTCTGTCTCTCTCTCTCACTGTCCACTCTGCCTGTCCAAAAAAAAAAAAAAAAAAAAAAAAAATACAAAAATACAAGTGAAAAAAATAAAAAAAAAAGTTAATCATTTTCTTACGTATCAACAATGAACAAGTGGATGCTATACCATTCACATTGTTACCTTCAAAAATGCCATACTTAGGCAGAAATCTAGCAAAATATGATAAGATTTATATAAGGAAAGCTATAAAAACCCTTGAAATCAAAGAAACTATACATTAACAGAAGTTCCATGTTTATGGACAGGGAGATTAAATATTGTTTAGATGTCAGTTCCACCCAAGTTGATCTAAAGTTTCAAGGGAGGGGGCTGGCGCTGTGGCATAGTAGGTTAGGCATCCCTTATGGGCATCAGCATCACATTTGGGTGCCAGTTCTAGTCCTAGATGTTCCTCTTCCAATCCAGCTCTCTGCTATGATCTGAGAAAGCAGTAGACGTTGACCCAAGTACTTGGGCTTCTGTACCCACATGGGAGACCCAAAAGCATCCCCTGGCTCCTGGCGTTGGATCGGCCCAGCTCCAGCAGTTGCGGCCATCTGGGGAGTGAACCAGCAGATGGAGGACCTTTCTCTCTGTCTCTCCCTCCCTCTGTCTGTAACTCTACCTCTCAAATAAATAAAAATCTTAAAATAAAAGATTCAATGGAATTCCAATCAAAATCTCAGCAATTATTTCGTGGATATCAATAAATTGACTCAAAGGTTTATATAGAGAGGAAAAAGACACAGAATGGCTAACACATGTGGAAAGAGAACATGGGCCGGCGCCGCGGCTTACTTGGCTACTCCTCTGCCTGCGGCGCCTGCACCCTGGGTTCTAGTCCTGGTTGGAGCGCCGGATTCTGTCCCGGTTGCTCCTCTTCCAGTCCAGCTCTCTGCTGTGGCCCGGGAAGGCAGTGGAGGATGGCCCAGATGCTTGGGCCCTGCAACTGCGGGGAGACCAGGAGAAGCACCTGGCTCCTGGCTTCGGATCGGCGCAGCGCGCCAGCCATAGCGGCCATTTGGAGGGGTGAACTAAAGGAAGGAAGACGTCCCTCTCTCTCTCACTGTCTAACTCTGTCTGAAAAAAAAAAAAAAAAGAAGAAGAACAGGGGTCTGACATTACTGGACATCAAGACTCACTACAAAGCTACAGTAATCAAGACAGTGTGGTACTGGTGAACAGACAAGAATAGACAAGTCAATGGAACAGAATAGAGGGCCCAGAAACCAACTCAAAAATACAATGGATTGATCTTTGGCAAAGGAGCAAAGACAATACAATGGAGAAAGGTTAATCTGAACAAATAATGCTAGAACAACTAGATTTACACATGCATAAGGAAAAATGAATGTAGACATTGACATTATATTTTTTACAAAATATAAAACACAAAACTATAAAAACTCCTAAAAGATAACATAGCGGAAAATTTAGGTGACCTTGGGTTCAGTAATGACTTCTTAGAAATAATATTAAGGGCATGATCCATGGGAAAAAGAGGGGGGATTAAAAATTTTGCTCTGCAAAAGATAGGAAAACAGGAGGATAAATCACAGGAGACATCAGGTATGCAAAAGGCATATCTGATAAATGTTATCCAAAATTATACAAAGAACTCTTAAAACTCAACAATAAGAAAACTGAACAACCCAATTTAAAAAATGGATCTGAACAGACATTTCACCAGAAGAAGCTATTCAATGGTTAAAAAAAAAAAAAAGGCACAAGAAAAGAGCTCACATCATTTGTCAACAATAATGTGTATCACTACACACCTATTAGAACAGTGTAACCAAGAACACTGATAACATCAGGTGCTGCTCTGGCCTCAGAATCAGCCCTTAAGGCATTCGGATCTGGGGGAAGAGCGCATGAGAGTATTTCAGGTATGGAAAGCCAAGACACTCTGGAAAAAAAAAAATGACATAAATGAAAGATCTCTGTGAGTGAGATCCCAGTGGAAAGAACAGGTCATCAAAGAAGGAGGTTCCTTTCTTTGAAGGGAGGAGAGAACTTCCACTTTGATTATGACCTTGTCTAAATATGATCAGAGTCAGTGAACTCAAAAGGCTTCCATAGCCTTGGCAACTCATGACAAGAGCCTAGGGAGATTTCTGACACCATAAGCAAGAGTGTCAAGTTGTTAAGTCAACAACAGGAGTCACTGTGTACTTACTCCTCATGTAGGATCTCTGTCCTTAATGTGCTGTACATTGTGATTTAATGCTATAACTAGTACTCAAACAGTATCTTTCACTTTGTGTTTCTGTGTGGGTGCAAACTGTTGAAATCTTTACTTAATTTATACTAAATTGATCTTCTGTATATAAAGAGAATTGAAAATGAATCTTGATGTGAATGGAAGGGGAGAGGGAACGGGAGAGGGAAGGGTTGTGGGTGAGAGGGAAGTTATGGGGGGTGGAAAAAGCCATTGTAATCCATAAGCTGTACTTTGGAAATTTATATTCATTAAATAAAAGTTAAAAAAAAACATCAGGTGCTTATAAGGAATTGGAGCAACAGGAACTCTCTTTCATGGCTGGTAGGAATGAAAAATGGTACAGCCCCTTTAGAAGCACTTTGGCAGTTTCTTCTGAAACTAAACATGCTCTTAACATATGATCCACAAATCATGCCCCTCAGTAATAACCCAAACAAGTCAAAAACTTTTGTCTACACAAAAGCCTGTACATGATGTTTAAAGTGGATTGCAAATATTTGAAACATCAATGGATAGATTGTGGTTCTTCCAGACAATGCAATACTCATATTGTTGGGCAATGAAAAGAAATGCACTATGAGCCTTAACAAGGAGGAGCCTTAAATGTATATTACTAAGTGAAAGACTATCTGAAGGCCGGCGCCACGGCTCAGTAGGCTAATCCTCCGCCTGCGGCACCGGCACCCCAGGTTCTAGTCCCTGTCGGGGCACCGGATTCTGTCCCGGTTGCCCCTCTTCCAGGAGAAGCGCCTGGCTCCTGGCTTCGGATCAGCACAGTGTGCCAGCCGCAGCGTGTCGGCCGCAGCGGCCATTGGAGGGTGAACCAATGGTAAAGGAAGACCTTTCTCTCTGTCTCTCTCTCTCACTGTCCACTCTGCCTGTCCAAAAAAAAAAAAAAAAAACCCACTATCTGAAAAGGGGGACACTGTATATGATGCTGACTATATAGTGTTCTGGAAAAGGCTTACTGGTTGCTGAGGGTTGGGGGAGAGAAAGTGGAGCATAGAGGATTTCTAGGGCAGTGAAAAATTATTCTATGTGGATTATTATGTTATGTTAGATATGTGTCATTGTACTTTCATCAAAACCCATAGAAAGGGGCCGGTGCTGTGGTGTAGCAGGTAAAGCTGCCACCTGCAGTGCCGGCATCACCTGTGGCCAGCAGTTCGAGTCTCAGATGCTCCACTTCCGATCTGCCTCTCTGCTGTGGCCTGGGAGAGCAGTGGAAGATGGCCCAAGTCCTTGGGCCCTTGCACCTGTGTGGGAGACCCAGAGGAAACTTTTGGCTCAGACTGGCGCAGCACTGACCGTTGCGGCCAACTGGGGAGTGAACCAGCAGATGGAGGACCTCTCTCTCTGCCTATCCTTCTCTCTGTGTGTAATTCTGGCATTCAAATAAATAAATCTTAAAAAAAAAAAAAAAAAACCATAGAAGGTATACCACCAAACAGGAGCCCGACTGGAAACCATGGATTTAGGGTAACAAGGATGTGTCAGTGTAGGTTCATCAGTTTTAACAAGTCTACCAATCTGGTACAGAATGCTGATGGTGGGGGAGGCTGTGTTTGTATGGGGGCAAAGGGTGTATGAGAACTCACTGCAGTTTGCTCAATTTTTCTGTATACTTAAAATTTCTTGGGGTTGGTGTTGTGGTGTAGCAAGTAAAGTCACTGCTTTCAGTACAGCCATCCTGTGTGGGTGCCAGTTCGAGTCCCAGCTGTTTCACTTCCAATCCAGCTCCCTGCTAATGTGCCTGGAAAAGCAGCAGAAGATGACCCAGGTGCTTTGGCCCTGCACCCACATGGGAAGAAGCTCCTGGCTTTGGCCTGGTCCAGTTCCAGCCGTTGCAGCTGTTTGGGGAATGAACCAAGAGTAGAAGACCTCTCTGTCTCTCCCTCTCTGTAACTCTGACTTTCAAATAAAAAAGATAAATCTTTAAAATGATTCTGTAAAAAAGGGTCTATTTTAAAAAGGATGATTGCAAGAGTATAAATTTTTAAAATACATTCAACAAAGTGGGTAAAGTATATAGGCCTTGTGAATTAAAAGTCCAGGATTCTCTTACTTTTTGCCAAGAGCTATGGTGCAATTTTAATCAAGTGACTATTTCTTTAGGCCTGAGTGACCTGGCTCTGAAATGAGGAAATGAGATTAGCTGAGTCTATGTTTATTTTAACTCTCACATTGTTCTTCAGATCAGTGAAATTTGGCTGGTACATATGAGTATTGGGAAGTGACTCAATGGAGCAGGAAGCAGAATCTGAATCACTTCCAAAGCTGTGCCCAGACCTTAGGCAAGTTAGCATGATTCAGTATTTCAGTAAAGTTAGTGATTATTTAATATTTTAGTAAATGGTGCTCACAGGCAAACACATAATAGATTAACCGCATATAATCGGAATGCCTCCAAAAAGCTCTAAGAAAACAGCCACTGAAAACAGACTGACTGTTGCTCCCCCTCTTCATGGAGGAACGACACTAAGCCCTGCCTAGGCTTCATATCCGAGTCACGGCACCATTATGTCGCTCCCCCTCTTCGTGGAGGAACGACACTAAACCCTGCCTAGGCTTCATATCCGAGTCACGGCACCATTATGTCGCTCCCTCTCTTCGTGGAGGAACGACACAGGACCCTGCGCTGTTCTTTCTGTCTGCTCGGCCCTCCCCGGGTTTGCTGCTGGTTCTTCCCAGGTTGGCTGCCGTCCCTCCACCTCCGTGGAAGGGCGGTTCCCCCTGCCACACTCCCCACTTCCGCAGGGGAGTGGCACACCGCCGGCCGGCTCTCTCGGGGGCTGCACAGGTGTTCCCCTTAGATGTTCCCCTTAGATGTTCCTGGTGCATGCCGTCTCTCTCCTCCTTTATAGTCCTCCTCTGCCAATCCCAACTCGGCTGCCCACACGCCGAGTACGCTGCTCTCCTCCAATCAGGAGCAGGTCCTGCTGTTTATTGGCTGAACTGGAGGCAGCTGTGTAGAAGCTGTTTTCTTCTCTCCCAGCGCCATATTGTGGGAGAGCAGATGCATAGAATAAGTCTTAATTCCAGTAACTCAGTCCAGTCCGGGTTGCTCCCCACAACTGACAAATCGAGCCAACAGGCCACTATTTGGCCACTCTGTGTGTTTTAAAAATTGAGCTAATCAAAATTGCCATTCCAGAAACCAGGGTCATGATTTTCCATAGATGATGGAGTGGAAATAGGGGTGGGAAGCTTCTATATAAATCTATCTTGGCAGGCAGCATTCACAAGAGAAACAACAGAAGTAAAAGGTGATTCCTGTATGTTCCTCTCCATCCAGAAAAGAGGTGCCAATCACATGACAGAAGATTCCTAGCTCGAGTACCCATGAAGATCATATATACATTGAATACACACATTGTTAGTGAGAATAAAACCAAATAAAAACATTTTAAATCCAAACTGCTCTGAATGACATCAAGGGGCTGGTAATAAATTGTGTAGACTTCTCTCTTGAGAATTTCTAGAAAATCTTCAGAGGAAGCCCTACAATGAAGGCATAGAACCTGGATGCAGCTGCTGAGAGCCAGCATGCCAGTGTGCCTTGGCTGTGACATTGCGGGTCCCTAAGCACCATCTCTTACCCGCTGTGGGACATAGAGGAGCATCCTGCTTCCTCAGGCCGGGCTGTTTGTTCACCAGCTCTCTTTTCAGCAGGCCCCTTCTTCCCTGAAGGCTGGTGCATTCCAGCCTTCACTTGGGACATTTTCTCATGAAGAACTCTTATGGCCTCTTTGGAAGGTGGGATGGAGAAGAAGCTTGTCTAGGTTTGCACAGTGGCCAGACTTTTCTCCAAAGCTACCTGAAGGAATTGAAAGACACTTAGAATTAATGAGCTGGATTACTACAGGAGATCCCATAGGAGCAGAATCCCCAGGGATGTGAAGAGTGATGCCTGCAGCTGCCGCCTTGTGTGCTTTCTCAGCACGGGGACCCTGGCAACCCACTAGCAAGTGGGAAGAGGATGTACTTTTGATCACACACACACACCCCAAAAAACTCAGAAGTAAATGAACCAAAACAAGTGGGGTTTAAATTGGGCTACAGGATGAGTGTTTTCACTTCTTGTAGTTTAGATAAGGTTCCCAAGGTATGTTGCTACAGAAATCAGGAAGCATTTTTATTACCCACAAGTACTGAGTGTCATGAAGGCAGAAACAAAGTTTGAAGTGACCAAGCTCAAATCCCAAGTCACTAGGACATGAATAGTGCCTTGGGAAACACTTAGGGTGCCATATAGTAGATTACCTGTCTCTGTATGTAAGTTGTGCTAGGTTGTGCCCTTCAAGAAACTATTTTACCTTATCTCAGTTATCAATCTTGCAGGCAGTGTTTTTCATAAGATTCCTTCCTCTTTTAATGTCCATATGATACAAAGTGATTATTATTCTTTCATTTCTTCTTATTAGTAATGTTTGCCTTCTCTAGCTCTTTCTCTCTTTACTGGCTACACTATCTAGAGGAGTTGACCCATAGAGAAACTCAACCACAAATCAACTAAGACACAGAGGATTTATTTAGGTTCATTTAGAGCTGCACCCTGGGAAAGCACACTGTTCAAGCCCTCTTGAATCTGGGCTTCAAGGTCTTGCAGGTTGTGGAAAGCACCTAAAGGCAAAGACTGCAAGTGCGGTTTGCCAAGAATTTAGACTGGTGCACGAGGCCAGCACTCGCTCTGGTAAGCGGTTGCATAACTGAGGGATGCATGAAAAGCAGCACTCAGTCGGGAAGGGGGAAAGGGACAAGGACAAAAATCTCCCTGGGCAACTCCCTGGGCTGAGGGACAGAGGGCTGCTGATAGGACAGGAATGTTCTGCCTCAGTGAAAACTGTAGCTCCCAGCACATAGCTAACAGGAGGTAGAGTGTGGGGCCTGGCAGGGCTCAGTGTATGCTGGGAAGGAAAAAACATCGCATGGGGTCAAACCCTCTCAGATGTGTGCATGGCTGAATAAGGTCCCCATGGCCTGTAGCCTGAAGTTTATAGGTGCCTCAATCTGCTTTTTAATGATTTTTCAGAGGGTTATCAATTTTATTAATCTTGACAAAGAATCACTTTTTGGTTTAGCTGATTTTCTCTGTCGCTTTCCTGTTTTCAATTTCATTGATTTCTTTTCTGATTTTATTGTTCCTTGTCTTCTACTTACCAGGATTAATTGCTTTTCTTCTTCTCACTTTCTAAGGTGATTTATTTTGCATCCTAGTGTAGGCCTAACCAGGAGAAATTTCAATATCAATTCTCCAAAATTGAGCTAATCAAGTAGCTTTTTAACAAATAGCTTTTTAAATACTCTTATTCAATTCCACCAAATATAAAGTCCATGAAGTGTACAGTTAAATGACTTTTTGGATATAAACCCCCCTGAATAACCACAATCCAGACCAAAACATACAACATTACCAAACCCCAGAAAGTTTCCTTGTGCATCTTCGCACAGCAGTATGCTACCTGGGTAGCTTCTCTATTATTTAAACTTATCAGCACAGGCTAGTTTGCCTGTTCTTTGCTTTCATAAAACTGGAAAGTTAGAGTTGATTCTCTAGTGCTTTGTGTGTGTGTGGGGGGGAGGGACACAATCTCATTGCTTTCACTCAAAACTCTGTGAGATTCATCCATTTTCTAATGTAGTCCTTTACTGTTGTATATATTCCATCATCTAAATGTATCACAACATCTTTTTTTGCTACTGCTGGGATATTTGTTTACAGATTAAAATCATACTTTTTTTATTAAAAATAAATGTACATATTTATAGACCCCAGTGATAGCTCATTGCATGTATACAAGGTGCACTGATCAAGACAGAGTCATCAACATCTCGCCTTCCATGACATTACTTTATGATTGGAGTCCTGGTGCTTCCCTTCTCTGCTTGCTCATACAATATTTAATGGTTTATTGTGAACTATAACTACCCCACTATGCTGTGTAACTGCAGGAACTTAGTCCATCAGTTAAGTTTTACTTGGTATCCATTACCCAAACTCTCTCTATTCCCAACTACCCTCCCCAGCCTGTAGTAATCATTGTTCTGTGTTGTTGTTTTAGCTTTCACATAAAAGAGAGACTGCATGGTATTAACTTTCCTGATCTTACTTATCTCACTCAATACGATGTCCTCTAGTTCCATCCATTTAGCCATTTTGAATAAAGCTATTAAGAGCATGTTTTTGGTGGATGTTTGCATACATTTTTCCGTGATAGTGCTCTCCAATAGCAATATAACAGTAGTCCCATATCTACTTTAAAATGTTCTGGTTAACCACATTGAGAAAGTATAAAGAAGTAAAATAAGTTTATTAATATACTTTATATAATTTTATATATCCAAAATATTGTCATTTCCACATGTGTCACTAGCTAGATTTCAAGGGCTAAAGATCCATACATGGTTAGTGAGTATCATGTTGGACAGCATGGCTCTCAAAGTATTTAACTCAAATTAAATTATTGGGTCATAGTATATGTATATGTATATGTATATGTATATATATACACATACACATATACATATATCTCTATTTCTATATTTATTTCTATAGCCACTTTTAGTAGATATTTAAAAATCTTTTTCTAAATTTGTTGAACCAACTTATTCATCCTCCCAGTGGAAATGAATGAGTGTTCCCAACGTTTCTTCCTCATCTTGAAAATTTTTTGTAGTCATTTGGAATTGGTTTTTTTGTTGGTCAGGTTGTTGAAATGTGATTAGCATAGTGAAAAATTCAGCAATACTAGGTCATGCTACGTGTCTTTCAACGATATAATATCTCTGAAAAGCTACTTTTGGTGTTTCTGGGTAAAAAAGCAGGCACTCCATGAAAATCTGAGTGGAACAGGAATTGAGGACAGCAGCTTGGGAAGTCAGGTAGCATATCACTGATGCATCCACCCCATTAGTAAGTAATTGGGGCGATTGAAGAGTGAGATGAGATGTTTTTCTTTCAACTTAATTGCATTATTCTTTCAAAAAGCTACTACTAAAGCTGGTAAGACATAAATATTAAGTTTTTTGGAATTAACTGGTTAATAAATGGAACTTCCAGGTATCACTTTTGGCCCAGGAGCACCGTGAAAAAAATTACTGATATACTAAGAATGCCTTAAACCAAGAGTGATGGAAACCTCTGCTTTGTACCCAATTTTCTAGTCAGCCTAGGACTGGCAAGGAGAATAGGGCTCAAGAAGCACTTTAATCAACTTTATTCTACCATGTGAACATCTAACTGACTGACTAAAAGATTTTAAAGGATTCTTGAATCAAATAAGGGCAGTTTTAAAAAAAGTTACCAGTTGCCCCCTTGGGCTTTCTAGAAAGCACGGGACGGGGGCGGGGGGAGCTCCAGCCCCACAAGATCAAGCGCCGCTCAGCCCGCGGGAGCGGGACCTGCCTCCACCTACTCACGCGGAGCCAGGCCCGGGGTCTGCCCACTCCGCCTCCAACGCCAAGACTGGGTCAGCGGCGACGCCGGGCCCCGGGATCCGAGGACGACTTCATCTTCCGACGCCTTCAGATCCGGGAATCGCGAAGGATTTCCGCGCACCTTGCTTTGGATCTAGGTCCACTCCTCCCTCTCGCTTCAGGGCGGTTTCTGGGTCCTCGTGGCCGCGGCGCCGGAGGGCGGTTGCCCGTCCCTTACCGGTCGCTCCCTGCCCGGGCGTCCCCTGCGCTCCCACTGGCCCCGGACGTTCCTGAGGGCGCGGGGGACCCACAAATCCCTGCCTGCGGCCCGCGCACCTGCAGAGCCGCAGCCAAGTGCAGCGCGCGCCCCAGCCCTGATGCCGCGACCACGGGGCCCAGATCCCAAGAACTGAGCGAGCTGTGGATCCGAGTTCAACCCGTCTCACACCTCTAGCAGCAGAATCGCTCGCCAAAATGCAGAGACCCAAATAGGGAGGCATTGTGTCCCTCGAAGTCTGCAACTTAACCAAGGAGGAAACACGATTTCCTAACTTAAGGGATGTGGGTTGTGCAGGAGCGGGGTCGAGTTTTTGGTCTGCGCATACACCTGGTCTCCAAAAAGCTCACGGAAAACACATACTATGAAAAAGCTCCGCATAGATTTTAAGTTCGTTTTTTTTTTTTTTTTTTTTTTTCATTCCCACGAACTTTCTTTAGAGTCCTCGTGTAGAAGGAGGGAGTTGCGTCTACTAGAGCGGGAAGTGCAGCAGGTTGTAAGAAGATCCCGAATTCAGTTTAGCGCTTGAAGTCGGTGGAAGCCCTCCGGATTCTGCAGCGTACGCTGTGCTTTAGGGTGGCGGCGTGGCAGCGTGGCAGCGTGGCGGGGTATGCGTGCCCGGTCCCTCCTTTCCCTGGGCGCCTCCCCGCCGCCACCGCCGTCTCCCAGCGCCCCGACGCCCGCCGCTCCGCGCCGCAGCAGCTCCAGGTCAGTGCTGTGTGCGGCTGGAGGAGGCCACTTGCTCCGGCACTCGTGGACCCTGCGGGCCTCGGAGGGCTCTACTGTCGGAGCAGGGACACGGGCGCCGGTGCTTTCCGAGCAATCCCTTAAAAAGGCGGGAGAATTAAGCTCCAGCAGGAAGGGCAGATAGAAACTTATGGGTAGCTAGAGGCTTCGGTGAGGGGTCATTTCTCCCTGAAGGAACAGAAAAGACAGACACTGCTTGGCTCCCTGGTGGTCTAGTGGCTAGGATTCGGTGCTCTCACCCCCGTGGCCTGGGTTTGATTCCCGGTCAGGGAACGTCCTTTTCGGTCTTGTTGTGGACTTTTTTTGATGTGTGTTTTTGTTCTATGGTTCCAGTTTTCCGAGACTGTTGGAGACATGGGATAAATGTCGATCCTTAACATGAAACTGCCATACGATTTTTATTTGACTAAGATACATTCCAGACGGTGGAATGGCTAGATGAAATGCAGTGTGAATTTAAAATCCAGATGTATAACACCCACTAATAGAGAAGCAACACTTACATGCCCCAAAGTGTGTGAGAGAAGTCCCCATTTAAAACCAACACTAGAAATGGGTAATCATTTAGATATAATTGTCAATTTTGTTTGCCATAAAAGCAATCTCTTGATAGTTAATTACCCCCGGCTTATCATTCCACAAGAGCCAAACTGTGGTATTTCAGCAAACTGAGTTCAAAATTCTGTTCTCCTCTGTTCTGGTGTTGACCCTTTTCTTCCAGATAAGATTGTTTGCAAACAAACAAACAAACAAGCCAAAAAACAAATATATAGAACCGACCAGCCCTTTGTGTTGCATTGTTCTCTTTGGTTCTAGGTTCTGTGGACGTGCTCTGGCTTCCACACTCAGATGCCTGCGCGCTTGAAGGTTTAGGAACTTTAGAAGTGCAGTCTGCAGCAGGGTCCTGAACCCCATCCTGGGACATGTTCTCAGAAAGAAATCAGCACCAATAATAAAACCAACAGCTTCTGAAGGTCTAAGACTGGTTGAAACCAGAGGTTTTTTTTTTTTTAATTTTAAAAAGATTTTATTTATTTATTTATTTGAGAGGCAGAGTTACAAATAGACAGAGGGAGAGACAGAGAGAAAGGTCTTTCATTCACTAGTTCACTCCCCAAATGGCCGCAATGGTCAGAACTGAGCCAGGCTGAAGCCAGGAGCTTTTTCTGTGTCTCCCACACAGGTACAGCTGGGACACGTGACCGGCACCCACTTGGGATACCAGTCCACCAGTGGACAAAAAGGGAGTGAGCACTGTGAATTCATCAAACACAGTCCTAAGAACGCTGCTCGGCAAGCGAGCTGCTGGGCTTGGTGAGGTTTATCCGTCTCCTCCTAGCAGAGATCTGAGAACACGGCAGTCAGAGCTCGTGAGAGTTCAGATTCCACCACGGTTTGTACAGTGAACCTTAGGCATCGCAGGCTGTAGGCACTCATTCCAGATTTCAACCCTCCATTGTGGCAAATGTTAAGGGAATTGGCCCCTTTAGCACGTTTTATATGTGACAATGCCCTGAACCCAGGATCCCTTCTGATACCTCAAGTGTTTAACTCTTCAGTTGTAATCACACATTTCCCAGCTACACATTGAAAGGGCTCAGAGGCCTCACTCGTGCCCTGAACCATTATCTCTTTCCTACCAGTTGTAGCCAGGCTCTGCCGTTTGACGTCACTCTGTCTCACACAGAGCGGACACAGGCCAGGGAGCTTAACGTGCCCTTGAGGAGCGGCGGCATCACTTGATGGCCTTGACTGGGAGCCCAGCTCGGGCAGGGGTGTGTGGGCAGCTGGGGGGTTGGCTGGAGCATCCTGGAGGCTCCTTTCCTTAAAGTGCCTGAGTTCTGCTGAGGGAAGGGGGGATGGAGACCCAGACAGGGGGCCGCTCAGCAGGGATTGCAGTGCAACTGCCCTTGACCTCAAGAGGCCAGCTACTCAGTTTCAACCAAATTTTAGCAACTGCTAAAACACCATTGGGTGTCTGGTTTCAGTCCTCACGTGTCGCCGCTGAGCCTCCAAGAGGACTCCTACTCCTCCCCCCCTCCCCACCACCACTGAGGGGTCATCTTGTGTGACAGAATCCTAGAAACCTTTGTCATGCCTCCTAAGCCATACCTTTAAGATGTTTATTACTGTAAATCAATCAGCATGGGAGTAGCAGAAGGATGCATATATAGGTATATGAAAGTGAATTGAGATACATAATATGGTCAGTTCCCCCCCTTTTTAAAATTTATTTATTCGAAAGGCAGAGGCAGAGGGGGAGAGAGAGAGAGAGCTTTCTCATCTACTGGTTCAGTCCCAACATGGCTGCAAAGGCCAGAGCTGTGCTAACCATATGGGATGCCAGCATTGCAGGTGGCAGCTTTACCCACTACCTTTTTAAAGGGCCCTAATGGAGGTGGTGTTGTGGCTTTAGCATGCAAAGCCACAGCCTGCAACACCATTATCTCATGTGGGCATGCTGGCACTAGTTCCTGTCCTGGCTGCTTCACGTCCAATCCAGCTCCCTGCTAATGGCCTAGGAAAAGCAATGGAAGATGATCCAAGTGTTTGGGCCCTTGCTACTCACTTCCAGATGAACCTCCTGGCTTCTGGCTTTGTCCTGACCCAGCATTGGCTCTTGTTGCCATCTGGTTAGTGAACCAGCAGGTAGAAGATCTCTGTCTCTTTCTCAGTCTCTCCCCATCTCTCTGTAATTGTGACTTACAAATAAACAAATCTTTTCTTTAAAGGGGGAAGGGTCTTAATTCAATTGGGAAAGAAGTGTTCATTTCAACAAATAATATGGGGCCAACTGTGTATCTATTAGGGAAGAAAACCCACAATCTTTATCTTCCTATATAAGAAAAGCTAATTTGAGTTTGATCACAGACCAAACCATACAAATTGTAAGGTTTCAGATAAAAATATCTATGACCTAGAAGTAAGCAAATATTTCCTAAATATGAAACAAATAACTAAAGAAAAAAATCGGAGAGCTGCCCCACATGTTGGGTCTGGGAGTCATTCTGATCTTTTGAAAGTCAGGAGCTATGACACGTAATCATGCTTCTCTTGCTGAAAAGCAAAGCAAAGTCCACACTGAGTTACAAACTTGAGCACAACAAGAAGATCAACCTTCACATTGACCTTGGAGAGCTTTGGTTCTATTTGCCCTCTGTCCAACATCCAAGACACACATCAGTCCTGGCCAATATGCCTTCAAATGCCATCTACACACATCTACAAGATCTTTCATCCATTGATTCACTCCCCAAATGCCTACAATGGCCAGAGCTGGGCTGATCCAAAGCCAGGAGCCAGGAGCTTCTTCTGGGTCTCCTATATTGGTGCAGGGGCTCAAGCATTTGGCCCATCTTCTGCTTTTCCATGCATATTAGCAAGACTCTAGATTGGAAGTGGAGCAGCCACAACTCAAATCAGTGCCCCTATGGGTTGGCTTTACCTGCTACACCACAGCACCGCCCCCCCCTACTCTCAAATTTTAAATTGTAAGTGAATGCCTCATAATGCATCTTAGAGTCACAAATGCTAACACTCAACACATCAGTGAGGCCCCTGTCAGCATCACACACCACCCTCTTCATCAACATTCTATGATCAAACCCAAGCACAGCAACTCCAGAAGCACCCTTACTGCCTTGTGCTGAGGTTTCAATCAGTGGAACTTGTTCCTATACTTACCCTCCCCTCCAACCATCCTATTGCCTAACTCAGCCCTTGCTGGATGGCATTTTGGTGTATCAGATAAAAGCTGCTGTCTGCGATGCTGGCATCCCACAAGGGCACTGATTAGTGTCCTGGCTGCTCCACTTTGGATCCAGCTCCCTACTAATGGTCTGGGAAAAGCAGTAGAAGACAATGGGGGCCAGTGCCATGGCGCACTAGGTTAATCCTCCGCCTGCAGTGCTGGCATCCCATATGGGCGCCGGTTCTGGTCCCAGCTGCTCCTCTTTCAGTCCAGCTCTCTGCTGTGGCCCGGGAAGGCAGTGGAGGATGGCCCAAGTGCTTGGGCCCCTGCACCCAGATGGGAGACCAGGAAGAAGCACCTGGCTCCTGGCTGTTGTGGCCATTTGGAAAGTGAACCAATGGAAGGAAGACCTATCTCTCTCTCACTGTCTGTAATTCTACCCGTCAAATAAATAAATAAAAATCTTTTAAAAAGAAAACAGTTACTTAAAAAAAAAAGAAAGAAAAGAAAAGCAGTGGAAGATGATCCAAGTGTTTGGGCCCCTGCCACTCACATGGGAGACCTGGATGAAGCTTCA